GTGAACTGGTTTATATGCATAGTGGACTTGCACACCAGCTAACGCACCCTCTCCTCCCCCACCTGCATCCTGTGTAATGACTAAGTCAGAAAGACCCGAGGGGGAGAGGGCGCAGGTGACTAGCCCGTCGAAAACCCGCACCTAGGAGTGCTACCAAACCCGTTCGGATCCGACTGGGTGAGACTGCCATGGAGGCCACATTAAGGTGTGATTGCACCCTGACTCTCAATCCATCAGTCGGCCACTCAACGCACAAACACACACTGGGCTGACTGCGGGGTCCGAATTATCTCGTCAGTCGGCAGCCTTCCAAACCACGATTTTCAACGCCCTGTGATATATTCAAGCGCGTCACATTGTTTGTAGTGAGAAATACACGCTGAGACTGTCGACCTCACTCACTCTTCCCACTCCCAGGCACCAGTCCACTGTCCGAGCCGGTCAGTTGTCTGATGCGGCGAGTGAATTGGAAAAATCATAGGAACAAGGGATTAGAATTTAAAAAATCAGGCTATGTTTGTTTGGCGGGTTCTTAGTATAGCTTCCTCGCGTTTTAGCTCAGGAAGAATTTGGTCATTTTATGTTCCACACCCGGTAGATCATGCAGAATTCAAGTTTAATTAAGCTGCTTTATCTGACCCCTCTAATTTGCAGGCTCATTCTAGAAATTGGCAATCAATAATTAATCATCCCATTCAACAGTGAGCCTTGTATGCCTATGTGCGTGTCGTACAGTGACCCCTTTTGTTTCCTTCATGAATGCAACCTTCTTCGTTTCTTCTTTTTGCATTATAATCATGAAGGTAGTAGCTCCCAGATGCCATGAAGACGATTTAGACATATCTCTTATGCCAGAAAGCGAAACACACGTACCTTTTCCATGTCTCGCGTTCGGCGGTAGCAAACAGCAAAGAGACCATTGTGAGAGTCCTGAAGGATCATTTCGTAATGAAGAGATATACAACTGTCTTCTGGTTTGCTAAAGTCAGTGGTCAGGAGGTGTTTGATGCAGGTGTTGTCAAGATCCTCCACCGAGGAGCGTCCAAGTTTATAACCCTGCACTGCGTCATAGTTGGCCAAACAGAGGCGCATCTGTCGTTTGTACGCTTCAAAGGGATCCAGTCGAGACATACAGGAGATGGTTAGTTTTGCTGATGGTAGTTGCATGCGATAAGGTAAGGAAAAGTAGAGGAATCCAGGCGTTATTGTGCCTTTAATACTGGCCGATCGAGCCATACTGCATAGTGTTTTGAACATAGCGAAGCGGTCGATTAATCCTTCTTCGTCTTCTTCAGACATAGTGCGGCATTTTTTGCCACCGTACTCGGACTGTGGCATTAAATCAACATAGTATATGGAAGATAGTCCGTGGGTACTGTCTTTCCAGTCGGAATGGGATTTGTTGAAGAAGTAAACCATCACCAACTTCGAACCCTCGTTCTGGAGCTTTTTCAAAATCTGCAAAGTAATGGAGGGCGAGTCGATTTTGTTCCATGGATCCATGGGGTAAAGGATAATATGCGGTCTCTTGCGCTCTTCCCTCGGTCGAATTGGTGGAAATGTTTCTGGAATTGCCCGGATGGCTTCATCCATGCGTACTGGATACTTGTAAGGACACGAGCCTCCAGCGATGAATAAGGAAGTCGGGCGAATATTCTCAGATGTCAAACCCTCCACAAGCTGAAATCTTGTCAAATTGTGCCTAAAATCCAGCGCTTTTCGGTAGAGCGGATGCCTTTTTAGGTCCCCAAGGATGGTAGTGGGTACGATACTGATGCGTGCCAGCTCAGAACTCTGTGGCAGCCCCAAAATTATCTGTCTCAGCAACGTAAGATAACGTTTTCCGTAGAAATCAATGTCCTCGTTCTCGCCCCAACTGCCTCCCATTTTTACTGATGGCAACAACTGAGATGAAACAATCATTGAAATGTCAATTACATTCATTCTCTCCTGGCATATACAGACCGTCAGATGTAGCAAACGAGATATTTTGTGCGTCCTGTATTGGAAGTCCGTATTTGTGCCCTCACAACGAAACAAAAAACTCATCCCGCGCAGACTGGTGTCGAAGGGAATCGTCACAGTATCACCATCTATCATGTTCTGCTGTTTGAAACTGTAAATATCCCGAAAGACCCTCTGCCCCTGTTCGTAACCGCCGTGCTGAAGGGGCAAGGAGCTTGCGTACTGCTTGTATGGGTCGTCCGTATGATAGCGTCCCGGACTGACGAATGTCCATGAGTGCCCAAGTAGGGGGAAGCCTGCTCCGCCTTTACACCTAATGCGCGTACCCAGGGGGACAGGATGTTCCTCAAAATAGGGAGTTTCACTCTCAAACTGCAACTCCCCAGTGGCTCCCTGGTGAAAACGTAGTTCAAGAGAACGTGAACCCAATACCCGTAGGAGAAGATTTCCATTTATGTCGTTGGGATCTATCATCCAAGAGGGCAGATTGGCATTCTCAGCCAGGTATGTTACCTGACACTCAGCTACTTGTCGACCCGCATACATTGGCATCGGTTGGTCACCCAGTAGGTAATACTGGTGAATTCGATCACGACCGTCGTCGCCCCAATATATAGTTTCTTTCAACTTTATAACCTTCAGTTCTGTGGGGATGTTTGTGACCGGATCATAATGAGTATATTTCAATTGCATTTTTGTCCCTTTGTAGGTGGTGTTCCTAAACACAGAGCAGAGCAAAGCGTAAGTTCTGCCGCCATAAACGTTGATCGGATGATAAGGATTATAAGCGTACAGACGCCGGCTGAAGTTCTTGAAAGTCGAATGATATTCATACGCTAGATACGTCCGGAAGTCAGGTGCGGATGGACTGACAAACAGGCGCCTGTCGGTGCACACGGGACGTATTATGCACCCGAGTTTTCTGTCACATCTGGCGGCAGTGCAGCTGTACACACCGCTATCATTGTAATAAACACCGTATTTTTGCATCACAACATACTTTTGTCCAAAATAAATATACGTGTAGAATTTTTCCAGTGGCTTACCCCTGTCAGCTTCCCTCAGTACTCGTGTCCGCGTACAACTGACAGAAATTACCCTCTCATCTGGAAGTGAGCAGACAATCTGAGCTGTATGCCATTTCCGAACAACTGCTCGCCAACCCACAAAAAGTTGAACCAAACGATGGGCGTAACCATAAATCCCATCAATCTCTGGAATTTCGCGCTTAGTTTTAGTCAACCAAGGGGCGACGGAATTGAGAATGGCATTCTTAACAGTCTTCAGTGCACTTTCGGCAGTGTAGCCCCTTCTAAGAGCATTTGCCGCAACGATCGCCATGCCCACATGCTCAGCAGTGAGTAGACAACGGAAAGTCAACTTCGCTGGGTTAGGAACATCCAAGTACCCATGCTGGTCCTGAATACTGTGCTGGCAGGTCAAAAGCTCCGGTTCACTAACATTTCGGACTAGTTTCACGATATATGCTCCAACTTTTCCTTTTGGATCTCCAAGACTCAGAAGTATTTCCCCGGAAATCCATTCTCCTTCGGTCAATGGATCTTTGTTAATTGTTCGTCTGAAGTGTTTCTCCTCTAGTATTTCCGCAGATGGACTACGTAGAGCATTTTCAAAATGTTTGATGGAACAGCTTATATCTGATGGACTGATTTTAGGTGCTCTGGCGACCACAAGCCTGCCGGTATGATGGACGACACTTTGGTTACTTCCGTAAAATGTCACTTCCAAGATATATGTTGCTTCTAGTTCGGGCCTGGCGTTGCGCACGTAAACATGCCAAACGCTTCCATCTATTCTGAATCCGTACGTATCATTGGGGGAGCAAAAGACTGACAAGCACCCGTTTTGACAACTAAAAGACAGTTCTATCTGTGGCGGCGCTTGTAAGGTGTGGAAACAAAAAAGTAGGAATTCCGTGGTTGAGTCATCACGTCTCAGCCCCACACTGGAGACTGCACTGCTTTCTGCCGGGACAAACCACATGGACCATTCGTTACCCTCCTGGACATAATCATCTGCTTCAAAATAATACACCAAAGGACGTCCTATGTTTTGTTGGAGCAGCCCAGAGACAAAAGCCAATCGCAGTAACAACAATGTCGGCGACATGAGTCAACTATCTTGCTGCACTAGTGTCTGACTATGCCAGTTTAAATGGCCGCGCGGAGAAATCAATATGGTCTTCCATCGACCTCCAAAGACATTAAAGGAGTCAGACAAGACTTAGAATTCAAAAATCTGAACCACTCTGAGCAGGAGTACCCTCCCCCGTTCAACCTACCAGAACTCGACACCACACAAAAGAACTCTGGGAAGCATGATCACGAGTGATATAAGCAAGGGAAATAATCTGATTGTTAGGTTATTATTCATAATGCAGAGTTTAAGAAAAACATAAGTAGCAGTATTTATGACACTATAGATAAGAGGCACTCTTTTGACATAAAAAGGGTTTTTCGAGTCACTTCACTTGAGGTAGCATGGACACTACAAGTTTATTTACATGCTTAAGGGACCTTTCACCAAAAGCCGCATTGGATCCAGTAGACACTTCTAGATTCTCTCTCCCCCCTCCCCCAGCACACAGACTTCACCTGTTATCTTATAAGGCTGTCGTCTGCACAGCATTCACATCCCAATAACCGCCCTTGACCGGTAGAGCAGCAATACGAGCCTATTCAGTGAGGGCGTCCACGCACCAGGTAAATTGCATCCAAAATTCCTATGGAGAGGGCGACATACAATTCCGTATTTGGCCCGGGCGAAGTCGGGTCACTTGCCCAATGTACCTGTTGCAAGTCATGTTGGAATTCGGCAGCTGTTTGACATATCTTACTGGTCTTATTTAGTGACGTATTGTTTACCGTCTCATGAAGAAAAGGGCTAAAAAAGTGCTCGACAATTGCTGGTTTAGGCCGTCTACATAGCTGAGCGTGCGGTGATTGTACATATTTGACGGACTGGAATGTTCATTTCCTTTTGGACAACCCAACAGCCAGCCGTTCGGGAAAGAGGACAAATCTGATCGGCCACGATCTTGCGCCATAGAAGGAGCTATCGCGGCTCTAGGCGTGACTGGCTTCGTTACACAATGACAACTGAGGGAAGTAGGTGTCGGATACTTATTCTGAAACAGACTTCCAGGGGAAGAGCAGCCAGACACGCGAATCCGTTTCGCCACTAAAATCTACAATGCCAAAAAGTCGTCTTCCTTCTGTAAGAAAGTAACAGTTGCCTCATGAAGAGGAAGTCCTTCTCTGCGCGGAAGATATGCCCCTCCACCCCCCTCCCGACTGTAAACCTGACGATTTGAAGGACAAGTTCTCTGAAGACCTGTACACCCTCTCCGCGTCTGTGCCGGTATCTGACAAACTGACTGCCTTCAGTGTCTCAAATGCCCGCTTAGCTACAGACCACACTATCTAGGTCGCTGCGGAGTAGCTAAGCCCGAACTGAGCATTCAGCCATCCAAACCAGGAGAGCACAGTGTGAATACAGCGTTAACAGTCCCGTTGGTACCTGTTGGATTACAAGATTGTCATGATACCGTATAAACATGACGTGCTGGTGACAAACGGTAGTCTGCGATGGTAAATACTTGACCGGACGCTGCCTTGTCGCCTCAAAGATACTACTGCAACTCAAGTACAGGGGGTGACTCCAGGGTAAAACAAATTCAGCAGCTAGGTTGAGCGGCGTATCAATAGATGTGACGAAAAGCAGGCCAGATCCCAGAAACAAGGGAAGATCAATATATAACAAAGACGAGCGCTTAAGTGAGACAGTCCTAGGGACAAATGACGGATACTGCTAAGCGCTTGGATGCACACGTCAACAGTGCCAGAACTGGTTTGACAGCAACAAAGAAGGCTGGCTCCTCCTCTGCATGAAAAGTTGGCTGCTCAAGACCTGTGCAGTCGAACGGCCATTTCATTCTGATTCACAACCAAACAGCCAACTCATGGCAACCTTCCCGGCGTGTATAGTAAGTCAACCCTGATAGCTCGTTGATTTGTAATACTAGACGGGACGCATTTATTGTGTGTGGTCAAAGTTGCTTTAATATCCTTGACCGCTACACGGCAGCAAGTCTGAGACAAAACAAAGTCTCATCTATTCATTTGCGGCAGCCAAACACAACAGAAGAGGAACGAATAAATTCAAGGATGCACAGACCGTGATGAGATGAGGAATTTTTTCTCGGCAGTCAAAGCAGTCTACGACCACAAAACCAGGGGGAGGGTGTGCTGCTGATAAATTCGGACGGCATAACCCTTCTGTCAGAGAAACCAAGGACTCTTGAACGCTGAATGGGGCATTTCAGAGCCATCCTCATCCACCCACATGCAAGTTGCGAAGAAGCAATCAACAGATGGCCCCGGGTGGAACCAAATGCTGACTCTGATCGACTGCCCACCCTGAAGGAAACAATTTGAGCGGTGCAACTACTAAGCGGCGAAAACCTTGTGGTGCTTACCCAATTCTACTAAATACGGCGACCTTTGAATCACGGGCAAGTTTACGTCAACGATCCAAACGATGTCTAGACAAGGACATTGCTACACGATTTCGGGGACGTTACCAGTCCCCTTCTACACCAACAAAGGGGAAGTAGTTCGAACTGCAATGAAAAACAGATAAATTTCCATTAGCACTGTAGGGGGAGATATTTACTCGCTTTCATCTTCGTCGCCTGGACACATAATGAAACTATGGAAATGACATTAGCAATCCAGCAACTGTAAGAAGAATGCCATGGAGTGAGAAACAGTCTCACATCAAATTCGTTGATCAATCAAAGGCCCTTTGCATCGGGAACCGTCACGAACCACTGAGAACTATGCTGAAAACCACATATCTGGGAAGACAGCTGCACGACAGCATGATGGCTGCGTCAAGGA